AGTAAGTTAGTTGTACAACTAAATTTTATTGAAATTAATGGGACTTCAGTTAGTCACAATGAACTGTCTCACTGATTTCAGTGGTGCTTCTGAGTAACTTAGTCAAAATATTATGCCATTAAAAAATCCCATAATTCATTCATAATTTTTGAAATGCAGCATTAAAAGAAAACAGCAGAACTGGATAGCAATCCCATTTCAGACACTTTATGGAGATAGCAGTTTAAATTAAAATTCCTTTTGTGTTCATTGCTCCAAGGCCAAAAAGAAAGAAAGAGAAGAACAAAAGTAGTTGCTTATTAATTTAAAAAGAAACACTAAATTGTAATCCTAAATAAGGTACATTCCTTGAAACTTAGAAAAAGTGGCAAGTTTAGGCTTACCTAAAGTGAAACTGATGGGAACATCAAGGAAGGCTTGATGCACTACAGAACAACAGGTATAAGTTGAGACATTCAAATTTTTTGCTTTAAAATGTTTTTCTTTTCAAAAACTCCAGTCTGAAAACAGAACAATGACAAAACCAGCAATGGACATATAAAACTTTGAATCCAATCCCTTCTGTTCAGAGATTATTTATTGTAAATGGTAAAGATACTCAGAAATGTTTTCGAAAAACACATGAATACTGTATGAAAGGTAGAGAATTTTCCAGGAATGCATGGGTGCTAATCTGTTTGGCTCTTTAACCAATTACTTGCCAGTTAAATAACTGGGGAAGTGAATGCCAGTCTGTCAGACCTGGGACTCGGACACTGAAAGTAATCACATGGATCAAAGGGAAGAGATCTAGTTACAGAACGGCTGGATATTGGATAGAAGATTAAGCCAGTAAGAGGCAGAACAAAAGTTTTGACTGGAGACCAGCAGGAGTCAGATACGTTGGTGTCTTTGGATTTAGATATCTGCAAGATTGCCTTCTCTATCCTTTGAGACCTGGAGGAGAAGGCTCCCTTCTGAGTCTCATCCGCTATGGTGTGTCATCTCTTGAAAAGCCTTCTCCTTGGTATCATGCAGCCTCTGAGTCTGCTCATCTTTTCTAAAACAATTACGAGCTGGCTGTTTTAGCAGGCCTTCAGCAGCCAATGGGATCGTCTTAGTTTCTCCTGAACGGTGGTTATGTTTCTGTTGTTCCTTGGTACTTGTTTCTTATATTGTGAGCTTTATGCTCTTATGCTTAGTTTTTAATTTAGCTATTGTTTTGGAGACCTGTAAGCTGTTCAGTCAGACATGATCGTAGCAGAATATTAGCCTAGTCAAATAATATAAACAAGAAAGCATTGGTTTGGTCAGAGGAGATCCAAAAAATAGAAAAGTCAAGGTAACCCAAATCAGAAGCAGAATACGCCCAAGGTATGAGTATTTTGTAGCTCTTTGGTCCTGTGCATGTTGGAAGACGTCTAGATCCTCTCTTCCATCCTCTGATCTGTTCCCCGAATATGCCAGTTGTCAGCATAGATGCAGGTATTTGGCACAAGAGACTTAGACTTTATGGCAGGGTTGCAAAACCAATGGTCTACTTCTTATAAACCTGGGACATCATCTGAATAGCTGCAATCTAGTACTTTATTGGAAAGCAGGTGTGGGCAGGAGGAATTCAACTATGTGGGTGGCCTCCAGAGAAATTTTGGGGCTAGATGGTGCACCAGGAAATATCTCTGCATTCATTTACCTTCCTGCATGGACAAACTTCAACCACGGCAGCCATTTTGTGAACGTGCCCCCAACCTAACCATCCCCATGCCCTCTTTGTGCCCAGTTCACCCACAGGATTGAAGAGAAAAACAGGAAAGGATCTAGAACAGCCTGTTTTTGCCATGCCACTCTAGACTCTCACCTCTAGGCTGGAATCCAAGAGGGAGGATTAACCTAAGTGAATCCTGTCTTCTAAATTTGCCTGATACAGGGAGTCCTCCGGGGTTTACCCAACCATAAACTTTGGGTGCTCTGGGGATCAGTAGCTTTTCGTCTAGCTCAGAAATGATCAGGTATTGAATTCACTAGCAGGGTGTAAAAAATTTATAGCAGGGTGTAAAAGGTTAATAAAACTTTATTACAGTCATTGTAAACAGCAGTTGTAATTTACAATAGCATTCACAATAAAAGTCACTGTGAGCTACAGACTTTAATATCCAGCATCAAGCACAACCATAATCTACACAGCTATACAGTAGATGCTGGCACCTAAAGTTAGGGGTGGAGTAGCAAAGCTTTGCAAATTGAGAGTGTATTGTTTGAGTCTTGGTCGACCATATGATCTCTAACAAAATTCATTAGAGTACCTGGGAATATTCCTAATCAAGACCAATTCTATACTGGCAGATTACCCTTATGAAAGGAACAATAAAGCAGGGTGTGGTCCAAGGTTTCAATGACACCTGAGCCACAAGGAGAAGGGCTAGAGAATGTTGTAAATCTGCCTTCCACTACCTCTAAAAATCAAGGGAGTATAAACATTCTGGGGTATTTAGGGAAAGTAAGTTGCTCAAGGTACTTTGCTGACATAGACTTGAAATCATGGTTGTCTGCTACAATTTCTGGAGCAGATACCAAATTCCATCTAGTTGTTAGCATCTACTGGTTTCTGCTCTAGTGAAATCTTGGCTGGCTCATAAACCAATTCTCTCAACAGTGTTCAAATCAGGAATTTTGCCTTGCTGAATGGTCAAAACATCATTGGATCATTTCCAATAAAGTTGGAACCACCTGTTTTCAAGCTCAAAACAATTGTTTTGAATTCAGAACAGAGTGGGCAGGTGAAACCATTTTGAGTTCAAAACATTTGGCATACCACTAAGGTTTGCCAAAATTAAGATGAATTAATTGTTATCTAAGTGAGGTCAAAGCAAACCTCTCTAAAATGTTTACTTGTTCAGAATAAATCGGTTCTCTTTCTCTCTCTCAAACACATACAACAGCAGGATTTGGGCCACCCACTGAAAATTCTGCAACACTATATTCAGGACTAACAAAAGAAAACATTGTTTTAGAACATGAAGGAAAGTTATGGAAGACATTGCAACATGGCATTAGGAGTTTAAAGTTTTTAAAAAATCAATACAAATGGAAATATTTCTTCCGTCAGCAGAACCTCTTCTGAAAAGTTGGTTTTCCAACATTCTGAGGCAGGAAATAGTCATTCAAATTTAAATTAGGTTAACAGACAGACATCCTACCCCAAAATAGGAAAAAAATCCTAAAAACTGATTGTGTACTCAGGAGTAAGATGTGAGTCTAGCTGCTCTGCACTATTGTATCTCCCCTTAAAAAAAGGCCACCAAAATCTCTGTAATTGTATGTATTATTTTGACTTTAAACAACTGATTTGTAAATACATTGTTTTTATATCATTGTTCTTATCAAAACAGGACTAAGCTCTTTAGTGCAAGCCACACTCAGCATGATGCCCTCCAGATATCCAGACTTCAGCTACCAACATTCCCCCAGCAGCAGGGGAGGATGGTGAGAAGTTGAAGTTTGGGAAGGAATGTCCTAGAGCAACCAGTTTTCCTTGGTCAAGAGGGTTCTGGAAGCCTGTCTCAAATTATTTTGGGTTTCTTCCTCTGCTCAGTTTTTGATAGAAGACTCAACCAGGGCCCAGTTCCTTGCAGCTGTTTGATTAAGATTTGATTTTTGCATTAAGAACAGCAAATGCTTGAAAATATTTTTCCCATTTCTACATTATGCTGTGCCTATAGATATTAATTCATATGGTAACAATATAGGACTGAAACTTGAAAGGCCACATCTACTTCCATATTAGCTTGACATAACTTGAGGGAAGTATTAACTATACTATGGGAACTAACAAGCCAGATTTTACCTTTATGGACAGACTATTTAAAAAAATAAATACACAAAATTCAGCAATAGCAATTATTGCTGGTAACATAGCAATATATTATTCCTTCAAATTATACGTATATACGTATATGTAGAAAATGAGAGAAAAAATATATAACGTGACTTTCAATTTTTTTCTTATAATTATACCGTTTTTCTTCTCTTCTGAAATGCCAAATAGCTGCTTAAGACCATGGAATGAGTAAGCAGGAACCATGGAATTTCATCCACAAATCTGCATGTTTCCTCAAAACTGCAGTTTCCACTGAAACCAAATGAAAGTTTTCTCCCTAGGTGTTTCAGATTTGAGGCAAATATAGACCTAATGAAAATTAGAACTTAATGGCTGCTTTTACAGATAAGGGAACCAAATAAATCTACGTCTTCTCCCATTACAGAAGCTGTCTATTTGACCTGTTTGTAATATAAAAAAAAAAAACCTCTTGCCTCATTGTCCTAACTGAAGTACATGCAATTCTTTGCTTTTAACTGGTGCCAGGCATGTGTGATTGAGCTGTTACAGACTAATCCCAGATCAAAACCTTCTTATAACCTCAGGCATAGGGCTTCCATAAAAACAATATATAATTTCAGCTGTTACATCTGTGTAATGGTATGTGGGAAAGAACTTGGGGGACAGGGCAAATAGATGCTGCCTAGGGCGGTCACATAAAAGAGCATAGCCAGCAGTTGGATATAACCGTGACATATAAATAAATAAATAAAATAGTTGGCAGGGCAAGATGCTCAGAAGGGACTCTCCCTAGTTTCTTGGGTATAAAGGAGATGTCAGGAGATTTGTACTTTCAAACTTGCAAGATTCTGTTAAGGTAGCCTTACACTAAAATAGAATGAGCTCATCTGATTTCCTGTCTGGTCTATCAACCTGGTAAAGCTGAATCTCTCAAGCCTCAAATACACCTGGAGTGTAAAAATGATTGATCTAATGATGGGTGCCTGATGGGGAAGTTTATCTAGTTTCCACTACAAAACCATCTTCCTTTCTTGACTGCAAAGATACAACAGACAGGCATACGTGCAGCCCACTCCAGTTTCTGGCTTTAGGTGGCTTACAAATGTTCATGACTATGCAGTGGAATTTGGACTGGCTGAGCTGATGAAATACTGCTAAAGAACCACAGGACTGTTAACCAATGCATTGTTAAGATTATTATTATTTATTTAAAGTTATTGGCCGCCCAATTCCAGTGGACTTCCATGTTCTTCAAAGTGGTCTTTGTTGTACAAAAGGCATCCTTCTTTAAACCCAAATCCCTACATAGTATCAAAAATTCCCTTGGATTTGCGAACTACTCTGAATATTATCGATCTGAATCACTTCCACTCTCCTGCTTGATACCACTGTCTTCTCCAGCATTGTTCTCCTCCTCACTTTCTTTATCCCAGTCCTTCATTGAGGCTCCCATCATGTAATCATCTCGCAATATACTCCATGCTGGACCGTCTTCAGATTTCGATTTGTCCTGAGAATTTGGAGATGGAAAGTAGGGGAAAGTTGAGCATATGATAACTGAAATGGAAGGCTGGAGACAGGACGGCAGTTATCCTGTATGCCTGGATCGAGAGACAGCATCTTCAAGGGAGGGCAAGCCATTATCTCCTTCAAGGCTGGCATTAACTTACCCTCCTCAAAGAGGCCTTTACCACCTTTCATATCCAGGTATTTGCATTTCTTCTAGCTGACCAAGGAGCCAAGAGGAGCATGGATCCAGCCCACGGGTAGCAGAATTCCCACTCCACAGAACCCTATCCTCTTGGGTGGTTTCTAGCAACTGAATGATTTCCCTTCAGAACTACTATATCCCTGTGTACATGAGGGCAGAACGTTCTTGTTTTTCTTTCCAACAACCTTTCCGCGATCCAGCAAAGGTGGATCTCTTCACTGGTAATGGGAAAGCTCGCAGCTGGCTATCTCCCTATCAGTCTCCGGAATCTTTATTAATCTGGGAATCTTTATTACATCTAGTTTAAGACAGGATATTTTGCATTTGAAACATCGTACCACCCCTAGCAAGGATCATTTTTCTTTTTTCCACTGCTTTTTTCCATTGCAAATGTCTTTTTTTCCATTGCTATCCAATATTTCTCATGCAAAACTATGCCATTTGGAAACATGTCTGCTGAAGAAGCATTCTCTTTCTGCAAAGTAAGTCTAGCCAAAACAACAGACACCTCTTCTCTAAGGGTTATTTGATATATCAGCTAATAGTCTTGGACAGCTGTTCATGGGGCTTTGAAACCATTAGTCAACATACTGCCTCATATTGAGAGAAAAAAAAAACCCTCCCAGGTCTAGCTTGAATTTCACATATAAAAAAACCTACAGAATTTTTCAACTTCTTCAATAAGATAATGCTAATGCATTTACATCTGCCACCTTGGATACAGTTCAGAACACTCCTAGTATAACTGACCACTATTTTGTTTTTGAGAGACCAATATCCATTAGTGTCCATTTTATGTATATTTTTCTTTGCACCTGCCTGCTGCCTAAAGAGACTTGGAGCTACTCAGGTGTGAGAATTAGTACATATGATAAAACTCCAGCCCAATCTCATTTGAGGCCAAAATGTTCAAGCTGAACAGTTGCCTTAATCATACCGAAAAATTGCTCCAAGGAGTAATGTGTACCTGGTGGCTCTTTGATGACTTTCTAGCAGCACTTTGCTCCGTTTCTTTTCCATCCATTCCTCGCAGGACGCTGATAAAGTCTCTTTTGGAAACAGAGGAGATCAATTTAGCTCGTTTCCTCTCAGAACTGCCTGCTTCTTTCATCTTCTCATCCACATTAGTTTGGTGCTTCCGGACTGCATTGAATAACTGAACCACGCCCCTGGAAATTAAAAGAAATCATTAGCCAGGCTAAGTTTAATGAAAGAAACAATTTTCTTAGAGGGACTGAAGATTTACAGCCCATTGGACACAGCGAAGACATTCAACAAGGAAAAATAATTAGGGTCAGGATATCAGAAATATTTTTTTTTCAATTAGCAAGCTTATTCAAAAGTCAAGGAAATCCAGCCAAATTACACAACTTAATACATTACATCTAAACCATTATGTTTTTTATAAGACTTCCGAAATCTTTTGCTGAAACTGATATTTCATGAGACAGAACTACATATAAATCATTTGACTCACTTGAGTCACTTAAGAATTGTATTTGATCAGAAGCAAATCACCCTGGCACGCTATTAGATTTGCTTTCCAAAGCCCAAACACTCACTTTTACCTTGTGGCAATTCTCTGAAGGTTTCTCTCAACTTCTCTGTCTTTGGTAACGTCTGGCTTCACTCGGCACATCATTTCCCACTCCCACTTTTTATTCAGCTGTGTTATAAATAAGGGGGAGAAATCAGTCATTTAATAGAAAGGATTGGAGGAAGAATCGACCCTTCCTAGCTAAATGGTTGAAGTAAAAATGCCGTCCAAGCTATTATCTGCTACAGGAAGAGCACTGTCATTATAGGATGACTGGTAATCACTCTTCCAGACCAAACAGCAACTTTGGGGAAGGGGCAGAGAAAACTTTTTCATTAGGATTACAGTGCAGGAAGGATAAACTTGCTTTCTTGCAGTTAAATTTCCTTCAAATCTAGTTTGAGACTCCTGGGGAAATCCTGACCATTTCCATGGAGGTTTTTTTGGCAACAGTACAGAAGTGGTTTGCTCCTTCTTCCAGAATGTTTTATTCACTTCCCAATTTACACTCCTGGGCTCTTCTAGTTGTCTCCCATCCAAGTAATAGCCAAATCCAAACCTCTTTCATTCTTTTGGGACTGGTCAAAGTTGGCTAGACACTGCCACGTGATAAGGCACTTCTTGTATCATAGTACGCTAACCCCCACCCCCAATAGACAATACAATTTGTTGTATTGTCTACTTTGGTCTCAAGATGGTCCTTGAAGGGGTTTTTAAGTGTTCTCATATCCAGAGTCTTAGAATTTAATTAGGGTTGTATTCAAAATATTCTGAAAGGTTACAGTTACCTAAACTCCATTATTAAGAAAAGGTTGAAGCTGAAACATTAAACTAAATATGTGTATTTTAAAACCCTCTGTAATTTCTATGATTGATCTCAGGATATATAATTTTGAATGAGCTTAGGTTTTTTTGAAATAAAAAGATGCTAACCTTTTCTAGAAAGAATATTTATCAAGCCTCTACATGCTGCATCTGTACTTATTTGTTACAATTACATCATTTTAATGTAAGTGTGCATTTACATTAAGAGAACAGGTAGCTTCATTGCTAACATGCAGATTACTTGTTTGTAGTTACAAAGCCAACATGAGGGGACTATTCATTTTGAGACAATGAACTCTTTTGTAGTTTGTAAGAGTGGACATTCTCCAATTTATTTTAAACAATATTAATTTAATTTAGGCTTCCTATCTCTGCTAATGGGTAGAGTATCTCCACTAAAAACAGCTAAGCCTTAAAGGAAATCAACCCTGATTGCTCATTGGAAGGATTGATACTGAAGCTCAAGCTCAGA